CTTTGGACTTGAAAAATAAAACATAGGCAAATAACTTGTCTCTTTTCTTTTATCTGAATCAACCCTTAAGTCAAATTGTGTTCTTAATTAAACACTAATTAATAACTAACTTGATACAGCAAAAATATAGTTTATACAAATTCTAACGATAAGCGATTTGATTCAGTATGAAATGAAGTCTAACAGTGCTATTTAAAACTGTAGCTTTGGACGAAGAAAAGAAAATGTTATGGATATTATGGTTTAATAAGTTAATTTAAAAACTATTATACTGTTTTGATCGACAGCATCAAATACTGTCTGTAGACTCAAACACGAACATAAATTATGTAATAGCCTGTTCTAAAATTCTAGATATTTGACAATAGATCCACGCGTAGATTTGGCTTCAATAAATATTCCCTCTAACTGTGAAATCATAAAACAAGCATTAAACTGTCTGAGACTTGAGAGAATTACTCGTGAATTATCCCAAAAACCTGTTGAATGGTAAATGTTTGTATAACCAAAGGCATGTAAAACAATGGAGTTATTTATCACCCCCAACCACTGAGCCTATCTTCAAGAAAAAAATACGACTGCAATAAAAAAAAGAATCGTTTATTTCATCAGAGAGGTATTGCCGAATTTTATTTGCCGCCGTCCACGGACCGTTTGTTCAACGCTAACGTGTGCCTTTAAAGCATCGTGAGGGAGATTTATTAAAATAATGTATCTATTATAATACTTTTTATACGAAATGGGGCTTTTAACACTGGTCATAAAAGCAAGTTTAATGCCTGAAATACCTCTTGTAAAGAAGTTAAACATCGCAATAGAAATTTATCATCTAAATTCGCGAAATACCTCCTGGCTTAGATGTACTACATTTATTTGTATTATCTAAACAATTTTTAAAGAAGTAACTATATAAAATAGGCGACATCAACATACACTTGTTATAATTTTCTACATTATTTTGAAAACATCTAAAAATCCTAATATAACTTTTCCTTCAACTTACAGCCAATCAAAGCCAAGTTATTAATAGTTCTATGCAAATAAGATTCATATCATTTGCAAGGTTCGCGCTGTTTTATATATAGTTCCGGATGTTTAAAATACTTATCTCCCTTGCTAAAAGTGGCAGCCATATTTGGGGTGGGGGATCAATATTCTAATTAATATAATTGACAAAATGCAAAAAAAAATATTGATATAAACAGCTGATTTACGTTAATTGTGAAATACAGCAAAGTATTGTTATAGCACCAATACCTAAAAGACTGTTATCCATTTCATGAAATTAAATATTTGGAGTGACCGCCACAAAATGGATGTCAGGGGAGATAATAATTGCAAATTGAAAAAAAGCATATATCCCATCCTGTTATGGCCTCGACCTTTAGATACAACCCTATGAAAATATACCCTTAAAGATCGAAATAGAATAAAATGCAAAGCATTATGTGAAATGACTTTCTGTGTTCATAAAACAAATTAAATTTCAATTCATTTCTACCACATTGATGTGAAAGTTTCTCATAATGAGCCTCTCGTCGAAATGGCAGTTAAAATGTCTCTTTATATCCTGGTTAAACTGAAATCCACTTTTCAGATAATTTAACAAAACGTATAAATTGATCTGCCCGGGATGTATGCATGGTTTGTTTAGAAAATTATTTTAAATTGTGTAAGTTCGGATAGCAAATATGGCCCTAAAACTGTCAATATTAATTCACTTGTAAGATGGATGGAAACCTGAAAATTTTCTATACTATCTAAATCATACTAATTTCTTTGATGATGAAAACTACGCTCACAGTTATGTTAAGCAAAGTCTTAATATATGTTTTGCTTATCTTTAACCACTACAAACAAAATTTCGTTTTGTCTAAGTGATACTGTCGTACAATCTTCGGCTAATCTTATCCGTAGACTGACGGAAAGGGCCGAAAAGTTACGGTTGTCGCACAAGTCAGTTCAGTTAGTTCAGTCAGGACCATCAAACTATCATATGACTACCAAACTATGCTGATTACATAATAACATATAACCCACTTAGTAGCATTTACCATTATAATGCTAAATATCATAAATGGACTTGTCCATCTTACCTTCTGGGCAAATTCATTCATTATTTTTAGGGGGGAAATTTAAAAATCTAAATATCTATTAAACTAATTGCCAACAGTGCAGTCCATGATCATAAAACGTGATGTGTCGGTTGATCTTGGTCCTATGTCAATAATCGAATACATCTAGAAGACTTAGGGAAAATCATGCATTATTATGATACTTATTTGATGCCACGTTCTTTATATTGACAATATTTACAAGGCCAATGCCGCGGCACTTCATAATTTACAGATAGAGGTATCATCATTTGTCTCACTAAACATGATGTTATACAAGAGAATGTTTATCAAACTTATTGATATAGAGAACTTTTCAGTTTGACTTAAAAGTTTTTGTTTATTAGTTTATTATTGACTTATTTATATAGTTTTCCAAACATGTTAAATAATGAGCGTCTGTGATAGTTAAAAATACATGTAATACATGTATAACACATTTGAGCCGCGTCATGACAAAACCAACAAAATGGGTTTGCGACCAGCATGGATCCAGACCAGCCTGCGCATCCGCGCAGTCTGATCAGGATCCATGCTGTTCGCTATCAGTTTCTCTACTTGTTATAGAATATGTAAGCGAACAGCATGGATCCTGATCAGACTGCGCGGATGCGCAGGCTGGTCTGGATCCATGCTGGTCGTAAACCTTATGTTGGTTTTGTCATGGCGCGGCTAATTTGTTATGTTAGTTTAAAGGTAAAGACACTTAGAAATGATAGTTCATTGAATTGTGTTAGCATGTATCAATTTGTCAGAAAAAAACGTGAAATTTACATGCATACTATTTATAGTAACACATAACAATATATACAATACACATAAGAATGTGATGAAAGCAGAAATGTTATTGTATGAACGTGCAATATAAATATTAGTATAATTTGTAAAGTGAATACACGTACGGGGTTAATTATAGACAGAGGTTATATATAAAACTACAAAAAATATCACACTTTCAACCTCTCGGTAGTTTCCGGAATATTTCGGTGAAATCCGTAATTTCAAAAGTGGTTGATGAATAACAAAGGCTTTGAATCTCGCGCAATGTGGATTGCATGTTCAGGAAGGGAGGTCTTCCAAAGATGTATTCTATAAATGATCCAACAGTAGTAGAATAATTTAACACATATATATTCATGGAACACTGGCATGGATTTTATTCCAATGGACACATTTAATTCACTTAAATCCAAATATGATTTTTATTCCATTTAAGATATCCAAAATGAAGAATTTAAATATTAGAACAACACAAATGCTTCCGAATTTTAACTGAAGGCATGGGTATATAGATATCTTGGTTTTAAGGAACCGCTAATGTATCAAACATCTTTTTTATTTTTCGCTCAAAGAAAACTTGCACACAGATCTAAGAGTTCTGCTCTTTTATGAAGATTCAGAATAGCAAATATCAAAGGAAATTCTTTTTTGAACTTGTAATAAACCGGTTGTTAAATACATTATGTCTTTTAACAGAGTAACTTCCAAGATCAACACTATTACAAATAATGATGATTCTTGTAAGATATTCAGAGTTGGGATTAAGAAAAAAAATAAATGCACACTTGCTTTGATGTTCAGATCATAGGTTTTATTTTCATAACTGCCACAGCCTATACAAACATATAAACACACTACAAAGTCTAAATCCATTAAAGACATGAAAAGACCTTCAGGAACTTAACTGAAAAATAAATATCTTTGATCATTAGTCTCAAGATAATAAGATAGTTTTTATTTCGGTATATTCATATGTTCAACATACTTTCTTACAATTATCATCAACATATTTCGCAATTCAACATAGATCATTAAATGTAACTATTATAAAAGCTTTAGAATTAATAAAAAAATCCATGCGTTGACTACAAAGACGTAGATGAAATCGTTTGAAAATAATCAAAGAAAAAAATGTGCAGGAAAAATCAGCGTTGTACATGCTATAATCCTTTAATTTACAACAGCTTATATCAATAAGATATGTCGAGATAAAGTAACATTCCAAACTAATATCTTACATTAGCTGGAGTCATGGTGTTAATTTGTTACAACTATGTGTTCTTGTGTGTAACGTCTTAGCCCCCCAAAAAACTCTTTGACATAGATCAGGAAGAACATAATTATCAATGGGACACATGTACAGTTTTATTAATTTACATCTTGTAGACTTCATGAAATAACTTATTTGATTGAATTGTGAATTAAGTTCATACACGCAGAAAAGATAACGTTTGTTTCGCATAAATCGGTCGGAAACTGTGTTAAGTAATCTACTTTTGTTCTGTTAATGACATTTAAATCCTAATTGTCGGCCTATTTAATCTGCTAACTTCCTTATGACAAACGTGTGAAGATAGTGCTGTTGTCTTTTGAAACAATACTATCACCTACATCAAAGGAATCGGAGTTAAATGTGGTTTTCGGGTCATTAATTTGTGGTAGAATCTAAAGTGTGCTTCAATCATGACGAACTCGTGTTTCCGGGGCCCGAAGAAAGAAAAAAACTGCGCCCGAAATACTTGTAAATGAAAAGCATAATCCTAAAAGCGGTGGGTCAATATGAAAGTAAATCCCTTTAGCCTAACCTGAAGTGATATTAGAAACAAAGTCAAAAGTTTTCTTCTGGTTTAATAACTAATATCAACTCAAGACTAGCTTAGTTACTAACATTAAATCAGTAAAATGGAATAATTTAGTCTTCAAAATGCAATATTAACTACAATAAAGCGATAACTCTCGCTATACATCAGGTTAAACAAATACATAACTTTAATCGTCCTAAGTCGATGTCAACCCCAATGATTCATCTCCCTCTATCGTACATAAATATTTATAAAATAGACATTTCGTCGTTTTTATCAACACTCCTTTTTTTGTCGTTTTCAGGTCTTTAGCCAAGACTGGAGAGCCGTCTAATGATTTATACTCACCTACAGCCCAGGCTCATATATTTTCGTCCCCGACACTGCTGCCACTTACGAAAAAACAACGAAGATTGGTTACGAAAAATCCTGGTACGATTCTCGCAATTGCAAAAGGTGCCCGGATGGCGGTTGACGAATGTCAGAATCAGTTTGAAGATAGACGATGGAATTGTTCCATACAAGAAAACGGACATGGGGGTTCAATATTTGGAAAGATAATTGAAAGAGGTAATATCCCGTTAAAAAATCTTCAATTATAAGATATGAGGTTTATATGATTGAGATATATGGAACATGTTTTATATGAGGTATATATGATTGAGATAAAAAGTTCATGTTTTGCATGCGGTTTATAAGATTGAGATATAAAGTTCATGTTTTATATGAGGTTTATATCATTGAGGTATAAAGTACTTAGGTATTGCATATAATATATTCTAAGTATTGTATGATATATATATATTTATATATTAAATATCATATTAATATTTATATACACTATTATATGAAATATATAGATAGACAATAAGGTTAATATCATCCCGGTCAATATATCATTATGCCGTGGATTATCACATCATATTCAATGACTCACTAGTCATTAATTGTATAATATAGAGAGTATTATATGTGATAAATGTGAAATATTATTTGATATGTATGCTGATTTTAAGTGATATATGAAAGACATTTAAAGCATTGTTTGAAATAAATATCAGTTATTGCGTATGATACTTTTGTATTTTATGAGATATACGAGATATTATATGAGTATTATATGAATATTTATATACAACATTATTTTTTAAAATAAGTAATACATAAAGAGATAAACTGCAAATTTATAATTATTTTCTTAACTTCTTATTCACTATGTAAGGAAGTTTATTAACATGTTCTAAAACAAGTCACCGAGGCTTTTATGACATAACATAACTGGAAATATATTTTCGATATTCTTATACCATTTGATGTAGGTCTGGATAAATGACTTTTGTCATTCGCTTACTCTTTTCATTCCCGAATAATTAGTATCTAAGATGTATTGTCTGAACATTACAAAATAATATAAAGCTTAACATATTTTGAAATATTTTGACGATTTTATTTAAAAAAAAAGAAAACAAAAGAAAACAAAATGTTTTCAATTGCTTTTTTAAATTTAATTTCGTTTTTCTCTTTGTTCTTTCTTGCGTTTGTTTGATTTCAATATAATGCAACCACATGTGACAATTTCGAATTTTCCTTTCAAATAGATGCAAAATTATACAAATTGCAATTTGTTTTCTTTTCAGTTTACTTAAAACATCAAAATTGCACAATTTAAATTAAATACCAGGGTTAAGAAATTTTAAGAATAGTATACGTATGCTTCATGTGGTATCGTGAGAATAAAAACAGACACGTTCACTGTAAAGAGCTTGTGTACAAGAGATGCCGATCACGTATTGTGACAAACATTTTGTTTTCATTATCACTCTATTTATGAAAGTGTCTCAAAGTGACCATTCAATGGCCACAATAAATTTGACTTTTCATTTCTGTTGACAGACTTTTAAAACGTTCAGCCGATGTTGTAGATAAAACTCCGATATCAATCCGCAATAAGACGACAGCGTCGATAAGGAGTACTAGACACAGCGTTATACCCTGCCTACCGTAAAGTGGCATGGAATGTCGCAAAATATCTCACTGTATTTAAATTAACTTAAATGACCGGTCTCTGACAATATAATAGCTTCATAACCCTTTAATGATGGTGATAAAGATGTTATATTGACTGTTTAACTACTCCTACCTCTGCCGAAAAAGTTTGTCGAAAAAAAAAATGTGGCATCCATTATTTATAAACTGTAATAATTTTTATACTTGTGCATTTGCGACATAACTGTTAAAAACTTCACACGAGAAGTTCTTGCAGGTGAATTACTATTCGCACTATCAAAATTGATTTTAGAAGTAATTTGCCCCAACCAATTATTCGTTTTCCGATCCTTTGAAATTGTCTGAAACATAGATTTCGATTTGCCATTTTGTCTAATGGTTTGAAATTACAAAACACTTTCAAACGAAGATGTTTTTGAAGTGCTTTGTTTCACTGACAGCAAAGTCTCTTATCTAGATATGAAGACGTTTTTTATGCCCTCTTGTGTGGTTTTATATTTTCTATCTTTTAACTTTAAAAAAACAAAAATTTTCGTTGACAATAACGCCAATTCATTAATTTGACATTAGTCGCACCAATTCCGCTTAATGATAGACCCGAAGATTTTTTATGATCTTTTTACTGATGAACATAGTAATTAGTCAAGGGAAATTTCACTTGAAGAGAACAGTTTCGGGTGTTCTGAAGTACCGTTGGAAAATTGAGGGGAAAAATGACAAATTGTTTAATTACTACATATTAGCATTAAACAATGTTTAAATGTTTTGGCAACATATGCGAACCTTGCATACCGTTTAGAAGGTCAGATTACCACCCAAGTAAAAACTGTGCATGTGTAAGGGGTGTTATTGGCTATAAATTATCCATATAATAATATATTTGTAACATCTCAGATGAGAAGGTTAAAAACATTTTCTTAACAAATTAAATACGGTTAATTAGCCCCTAATTGAATGTTGGGACATACTTTACTACTATTTAGCAAACTTGTTACTTTAATGGTTATCCCGCACGACATTTAGTTGAGAAAAACACTTGTTTACGTATTAAAGTTAAATAAATTTTGAGTTCACCAGTTGTGAAAGTGTTAGCTATTGATACCTTTTTGTAACATAGATGATATTGTTAAATAGTTTTTTCTTATCTCCTCTCCGGGAGAGTATCCTCAATTACTGCGCCGCAGAAAATAGTTCGCTATATTTTTCCTTAGGACTTGTTATAGCGACTGTATGTCTATTATTTAATGTTATTTGCATCGTGTACACACCGGTAACATAAAACAAACAAACGTATCGTGATGGCAAAGTATTTCTTTAATTACAGTTTGTTCATCTTGATAATATTTATGATGGCAGTAACAACCGAGAACCCCGGTACAAATTAAACTGTGCGGTTTTGTGGTGAAATCAGCCTCCATTTCATTTTATAAATAAATTGCAGCCATTAAATTTCAACATTTCAATCAAACAGCCTTTTTCTTCTAATTTGTTAACATAAGCTCTACAAAAGGTCCATTTTTCCTTTCATTTAAACTGAGAAACATAAGATTTTTTTATGATTTAATTAGGTTTTACGGCTACTCGACACAGGATATTTACGTAACTTTCGGAGTGCTTCTTCAAACATCTTTACCTCATTCAGGAAAAGAATTTTTATAGTAAACTTTAAAGGACATTTCTAGTATTAAAAGGTCGGCCGTAGTTATTATGAAAAAATACTTACAGAATACAAAAAGAGAACAATTTGACATATTGAATAATACAACGCACACGCGCCGATTCATATATCAAGCTAAAACAAATAGCTTTATCTTTGAGTATTTACTAAACTGCGGTTTGTATTAAGATAACCTGTTCGTCAACAATTCGTATAAGTTCGGTTCTTTTCGTCGCTCTCCGTATGCGCTTTTAATGATAATCCATTTTTAAAACAATGCGGATTCATAGAACCACAACAATAATATTGTGGATGCTGAAAATTTTCAAACTATCTTAATCCAGCGATGTTTCAAATCTTTATTATCTTAAAGTACAGGTATAAAAATAAAATCCGAAGAAGCTGTACGTAAAGAATATATTTAATTACAATTTAATAGTATTAATGTTACTAGGTTTAATTTTTTTCAGATTTAAGATGCAATAAGAATTAATTGTGGCATTTAATCACTGGTGCTAAATTTCATACTAACTTACAACATATTGTTCTAGTGGGATACTGTCCAGTGTGTTTTTGTCCTAGTGGGATATTGTCCAGTGGGATAATTTTCCAGTGGGCTATAGTCGCGGTGGGATATTTCCCAGTGGGATATTGTCCAATGAGCTATTATCGTAGTGGGATATTATCCGGTGGGCTTTTGTCACAATTTGCTATTTTCCTAGTGGGATAATGTCCAGTGGAACAATTTTCCAGTGGGCTATAGACATGGTGGGATATTGTTCTACCTAGTTGGATATTGTCCGATGGGCTTTTGTCCCAATTGGCTATTTTCCTAGTGGGCTATTGTTCCGGTGTGGCATTGTCCGTAACCCATGAATGAAACTTTTTTCTAAATCTAACGTTACACAAGGAGGAGGTTAAAAGTAGATGAAAAAAAAGAATAAATAAAAACAGTATTATCGTTCATTCTGAAAATCGATGCATTATATTAACACGTAGATCAAGTTAGCAAATTTGCGTTACAATGACTGAAAGAGCAAAATATCTAAAATAAGCACTTTATTAAAATAAAATAGCTGTTTTAAGAATTAAAGGGTATAAAGCTATATCTTTTGAAATATTTAAAAAAAAAATAATCAACCATAAAATTGTATTGTTTCCATAATACTATGTATGATCCATTCTCGAAAATGTTGTAATATAGAATGCCTCTGCTGATTAACACACATGAATATTGTACATAAACAGAATAGAATATTCAAAACAAAATATTATACTGCTGTTTTAACCGTTTAGCAATAATTTCATGTCTGCGCCATCCGGTTTTAAGGCAAAACACTTCGATTTCTCTTTCATACAATCAAATTGGAAGTATTCACTTTAAAAATTTCAAACAATAATATATGCAGCAGATATATAGCCTCATACACTTAAAAGAAAGCATTCATTCTTTGTAATATAAGACAGCAGATTGTTGCGCATGCTCGTAAAATTATTCAGAGAAATGATACAAACCAAGCCGTAAAACTGCAATTTTAGGGACGTGACAATGAGCAGTTTCTCTTCGTCATAGCCAAATGAAAAAAATATAAAAAATACATTCGAACATATCATGGTAAATGATGTTTTACTATTTGAGATTGGATAAAATAATTAAAGAAATACTTCATTCATTACTAATAGACTTGGTATGCTGGATAAATGTTTAAACGTTTAAATATTTGTCGATTTCACTCGCACCATCAACCGCGTCAAAATTTTATTTTTTTGTCACTTATTATCAATTTTGCCCATTCATACTTTAACCATATTAGAATCAGATAAATTTCAAAGTTAATAGTGAGATATTAGAATACGATACGTGCAGTAACTTTTCAATTACAGCGTTCAATATTTAAAGTGAAAT